CAGTTAGTCATGAAAGGGTGCGCCGGCAGGTTCTGGTGGCAATCCAGAACACCTACAAGTATTGTATGAGGCAAAGGGTTTAGGGTTGATTGACTGCTAGCGATGCCTTGAACAACCCTTCCCTCAGGAGGGGCGAACCACATACCTTGAACACTTTGTTCATTGACCATGTTCCGAATTTTCCTTCAGTTGTTTTACTTATGAAGTCGTCAATAACCTGAAAGTAACAGTCAGTACAGAGGTCAAGGGTGGGCAACTAACTTAAGTATAAGAATTTACTTTGAAGCAGCTAAATGAAAACAACCTTAGCCGAGTGCTTTGCTTCGGCAAAATCCAGAGCTTCCACTTTGGCGTGAAGATTTTTTTGAATATCGTGCTCATATTTCTTCTCTATTTTGAACTGTTTGCTAAAATTTTTGGATCATTCTAGTTTTTTTCAAAGTGCGAAATGAGTTTTCAAAAAGTGCACTCACTCTAGGAAAAAACCATTTGCTATTCGGCTTTTCACACCCTTTTTCGCGTTCATGATCTGGTTATAGAGCTTTGAATAATGCTCTTCAATATCCCTGTCGGACCCTCCTGAAAGACAGTTTACTAGAGAAAAGGGCACGAGGGCAGCCAAAGAAATTTGGGCTCGAACCTTTAGAGATGACGGAATCAATTTGAGATTTCGTAGGGCCCTTGGCACCCGCTCGCACCATCGCCAAAGCGAAAATCACGGAGATTGGCGACACGACTAGAGAGTCGTTGACGGGCCCATTCCGGAGCATATTGAGCCCGAAATCCGTTTCGGCCGTTAAATACATCCTTAACAGCAAGGTCTAGTGAGACAAACACCAGTTAAACTTCGTGGAATTCCTGCAGTTCGCTGGAGGAACAGTGGCTGGAGGCTGTGTGAAGAGGTGAAGGTAGGGGAGCAGCCAAGGCAGCCAGTTATGAAGGTCTCGGGATGCATCAAGAAGTACAGTCCTCATCGTTGCGGACTGTCAGGGCGGCTGAGCCGCGCTGCGCTGTGACGCGAGAGCGGCTGTCAACATGTTAAGCAAGCAATAGTTGAGCATGGCACTGTGTAAAGTCTTTGATAAATACGACCCGTGCTTGAAGTTTTTTCCCTTCACAACTTATTATCCTAAAATTTGACAGGTGAGTGGAGTGTCGAAGGTTTTCTCCACAAAACTATTACAATCTATTCCAGGAAACACTGACTGTATAAGTTTCAAGCTGTTGTTGTTGGTTAACTGCTGTTTAACGCCGCAGTACGCGATACGAAAGCTATCACAAGAATGCTGAGTTATGGGCAAAAGTCGGACCACGGACGGGATTCGAACCCGCATCTTCTGCTCTGGATCTGCTTCTGATCTGGAACGCAACTGCCCGGTAAGCAGAAGATGCGGGTTCGAATCCCGTCCGTGGTCCGACTTTTGCCCATAACTCAGCATTCTTGTGATAACTGATGATAACTGACTGTATAGTATCTTGATGGAGATTCAACTGACAGGGATTTTCTCAAGAGCACATGAGATTCGAGAGCATTACTTTGGTGAAAAATCCAGTTTTCCTAGATCCTTTCCTCCATCGGGAGCAGTTCGGCGATGGGGGGGGGGAGGGTGTATGACGCACTTTCGCCGCTCCACTAGTGCAGGTTTAATGTCTCACGCTCGTGGAGCCATTATGGTAAAACCTGTCTATGGGTCGACACGTTGGTGGGGAGTTGCGAAAGTGCAAAATGCCTCCCCCTCCCGTCGCCGAACTGCCCCGCCATCGTGCCCTAGTAATGTTGCAAGAGACAGCTGACCATGAGAAAAGCTACGATCGGTGCACTTAGCACTGAAATCTCAAGCCGTGATAACGATCTAACAGCTATAAAAGCAGGAATATAGAAAATAGGAGAGATGTAGCTTCACCGCACTGCTCAACTTTCTGCACAATGTGAAAAGCAGCCTTGGCTTCGCGTTTTTATTCAGATTCTATTCTATTTATTATTCTACTACTTTAACAGCGCTTGACGGAGAATACTAAACTGTAATAACAGCGATTAAACAAGAACACGATTATTTTACAGCATGAGAACACGATTATTTTACATGGAACCATTATTCAAGCGAAGCAAAAACCGTTCTGCTATCCAAGACGTCAGCCTAACATTATATTCAGATGCCGGCAGAAATGTGAATAATTCTCGAGGGGGGAGCAAATCGAATGTGCTCGTCTAAGCCTTGAGATGATTTATTTCGCCGACATCCAGCCGGCAGTTTCAGAAGGCATGGGATAGCCAAGCCGCTGCGTTTTTATCATTGGCTATTTTCCACCTGAATTGAAGCGTTAAACCGATCCTTTGACATGGTAGAAACGCAGCCGGGGCGGGCCTATTTTACTCCCTGGTATACTCCCCCCCCGCGCACACCGTTCTCTGCTTGGACGAATCTGCGCGGCGATTCGTCGATCCTAAATTTTCGCGCAATTTGATTGGCGAATGTGGCCGGCGGCAACTTTCCGAGGCAGCCGCAATAACAAGCAGCCTAATTATACCAAGTATTTTGCCAAGTAAAAAATTGTTTCTTGGCACATTATGAGTCATCGCTACTTCGTGGTGACTCGCACCGGAAAGCTGTCCACGAAAATCCTCCACGGGCTTCGTACACAGTTTCCAAAAGTAAGGAGCTCCCAAGTGTGGGTTGTTCTAGACGCTGCTGCTGAACTTGAATGCCTTGGGTGAGGCGCATTTACTAGTTCCGTACACGGATAACACGGACACGGATAATTGCAAACTCTTGTCAGTCCACGAAGTGGCACTCAAGCTTGTTCAGGCCGCCTATTTGCTCACGAGGATTTGCAACCTCATTTAAATCAGATACACCCGTAATGAATTAAATCATTGTGCAGCTACCTTTTCGTAAGTTTACAGAGGGCTTAAGGGTCTGATCAAAGCTACTCGGCGGAGTCTGCTCCATTAAGCAGCTTCCTAAAAGTTCGTATGTTCCAACAAAATTAAGAGACTTGATGTGGTTTAGGGGAAACAGGGCATCGCCTCTCCGCTGACCCTCCCCTGATCGAACGATGTCCACAGACGAGAAAAGCCCGACGAACATTATATTCGCACCTGTCTCGGGGTTTGGTCCCAGTCGTCTTCGTCCTTACTGAGCATTGGAATATGAATAGCGAGCATGGGTGTGCGTAAAAGACGATGTCTGTACTTATTACCCCGCCCGACAGGAATGATGCCATATCCATGCCCTAAACCTTGAAGATTTTGATTCGGCTTATATCGGCCACTGCGATAGACAATTTTGTTTTCCGAGGGGGAGCGAAATTCCCTTCATCTGAAGGGCAATAACTTCTTCAGAAACAGGGCATTTGGGAGGCGGAAAGTAGCATCGTAATGAACTCGGCTTACTATCCATAATGGTGGTGCTGGTGCTTCATTTTCTCAGATTCTTCACAATTTTGAGAACATCACTGATGGGTTCTAAATGGGCAATTTGAAAATCATGTGGTGCTTTTTATGCTTCCAGCGACCATAACTTCCTCCTTTCGCCGTCACGAGCAAGATCAAAAGCATCAGTCGAATGTGGGACGTTTTCACATCGCAAAAAGCACTACACCCATAGCCACCTAAAAGCCGAGACCGTTACTGTCCAAATACAAGTAATTAACACGAAGGCGACGAGTGACTGGTGAGATTGTGTTTTTTGTTTTTTTTTTGCGAGGGCACCATAGATGCTCAAACTTGTACAGGCCACATCGCAAGGACCCATGAATCGCGTGACCAACGTGGCTCACTTGCACCTTTCCGCAGCTTCACGAGAGATTGCGGCGAATCTGCCAAGGTTGGGACGCTCATAACAGGGCACATCATTGGTTGGAGATTTTAGTCGAGTCTCTACGACAACCCCCCTTTTTTTGTGGGGCTGGTACGACCCCCTGCCTCCGACCTTCTGTCTTCCTTTTTCAAATCGAGCCGTCGAGCGGGGACGGGGGAATCATGTCATGTGAAAGAGGAGAATCACCAAAAGTCAACCACCACTCGTACAACGCCAAAACGGAAAAAACGACTTCTCCCCTTTTCAACGTCCGTGAAGGGAGAAAAATTAACTATCAAAATAACCTTCTTCCCGAGGCCCCAAGAGTACGCCGCCCCCCTCTCTGCGGACCAAATACGGACCACCCTATTGGAGACTCAATAACAACGATGCTGCCTTGGCTGCGATAGTTAAACATCCACATCCTGATGGAATTATATATATTATCTATATATACTCCAACGCGAGGGAGCAGCCGTAGGGCAGTCGCTCATTCAGAACATTCAGGGGTTTCAGGTCAGGTTTGGGTATTAGGTGCCTCAAAGCAGTTCTGCTGCTGCTTCGGCGTAACGGAAAGCCGTGGTGCGTTGAGAGAGACTAGGTGGTGTTTTCGACCTTCGGAAATGAAACACTGGCCGAGGTTAAAACGGCCGAATCGATGAATTTATTCTTTGCACTTAATACTAGTGTGCGCGGTTTTGAGCTTGGAGGAGGGGGCATTCAACTTTGGCTAATCTTCTGAGTGGTTGTTGGCGCGAACAGGTAGTGAAGGACTTCGTTGAAAACGTGAGACTCTGTCGCGCAGAGCGCCGGTTTCAAATGAGCGAATTCCTGTCCAAGGAAATTAACAAGGCCTTCACAAGCTGGACTGGTAGCCGAGTTGGAGAACGCATTTTGTTGCCCCCACCTCAAACGAACTGCACCTCACGAGACGAAGTACGGATAGGGATAACGAACTGTCAAAATTTGAGTTCGCTGTGTTAGCGACTTGGCTCTGAGTGTGAGTGTGCTCAGCCATCGCAGTCCGCTTCTAGACCAATGAAAATCGCGAGAAGAATTCACATGAGGGCACCTCAACAGCAAATGGCCTGACTCGAGTACTAGGTCAAGGCCGGGTTTCAATGACAGCCACCAGTCCTTCACTTTATGAGCCTGGGCACGTCGTACCCCCGGGCGACTGTCCATCGGGGTGGGGAGAGGGAGGGAACGTATCTGATTAATGGAGAGAGAGAGAGAGAGAGAGAGAGAGAGAAAGGGAAAGAGAAAGAAAGGGAGAGGGAAAGAAATTATATCCGCGCTTTCAGAAAAGATTCGTGTTCGGTTGTTTTAATTTTTCTCAGTTTTACTTGCCCTCTTCTCGGCACTTCCCCTTCGGACGATAGTCCTCTTCGAGGAAGAAGGTGGAGAATTTTCACGAATTCGGCAGAGAGAAAGAAAGACACTGAAAGGTGGAAGAGGTAGTTGGGAAAGTGGTCAGGGAGGATGCTAGTGTGAGGAGGCGGTCGTTATGGACGAGAATGTTTCAAAGCAGGCGGTCGCATTCAAGGTTCCCTCATTAGCAGCAGTGTCCAGTAAAGCAATGACAGCCCTCTCAGTGGTGGTGCAGCCTTCTCAGTGAAATTGCGCTGCTCAGTGCTCACCCTGCCCTGAATTTACTACTTCCGTCAGCAATCACATGAAGCCTCCGCGAGCATCCACAATGGGATTGCTCGCATGCTCCGACGACGAGATGCACCACTGACCCGTCCGCGAGTCATCGCGTGAACGAGGCCGTTATGGCACTTCGGTTGTGGAATGGGCAATTGGGTTTTGTTTTGCTAGGGTTGTCCGGGGCGGGTGTCTATGTAGATCCAGACACTGTCTCATGTGGTTGTGTTGATGAGTCTGTGAGCTGATTGGTAGGAGCTGCGAAGGAATTGTGTGAATAATTAAGCCACTGTTCATACAAAAACTGTACTGAGATGAGACGTCACAGAGGTGGCCCGCGCGAGATTTCGCCGAGCACC